CAAGAGAAAAGTTGCGAAGAATAGGACAATAATAACTAGCCAAGAAATTGCAGCCAGTCTAAGCGAAGAGCAAGGTGTTAGTCTTGCCTCTTCAAAAGTCCGTCAGAACAAGGTTACAAATCTTGTTAGAACAAGGCTACAAATCTTGTACATGAAGGTTTAAGCCGCTAATAAGCAAAGCCAACAAAGCCAAGAGACTTGAATGGGCTCACTATTACAAAGATTTCACCGTAGAAGACTGGAAGAATGTTCTCTTCTCCGATGAAACGAAAGTTGAGCTAAATTCAAAGGATAAGGTGAGTCACTTTTATCGAACAGTACTGTATCACCATTGTTAATTTGTATGGAAATCTCAAGTTGTTTGGTAAGCACTATTCCAAAGCTATAGAACAGGTATGCACAAGTAAAAAAAAATATGGTGGGTAAAATTGATCGCAGAAGATTAACCGAGAAGGAAACAAGAACATTTTTAAGAAAACAACAAAATGGTTTTAAACAACACCATTTACTTATACATCATGAGAAATTTATATTTTAAAAGCAGTAAAATCGACCTTGATAAACCAGAGACTACTCTGTAGCTAAACTGGTATAGCACGTCAGGCTATATAACGATTCCGTGTAGGATACAGGCTCGATTTCTGTCGGAGGACGCATATTTTCTATGAAATTTCTCTGGCGTTCCGGCCGGTAAATGTTGTTAATACTGTTTTTCATAAAAAGAGCATTTACTTGAATATTTGTGTCTATATAAATAACGTATAACAATAAAATATATTAAAATCATTGTCGTAGTAAGAAACTGTTAGCATAGAACATACGGGTACATCTTGCCAATTCAACTGTAAAATGATGGGATCTTTCCACCGATCTAGTACTGCGCTTAAATTCATAAAGTTCATAAAGTTCATTTGAGAATTCCGACGTGGTGTAATGGTTAACAAGCTCGTCTCGCTAGATAAATCAGCATGGATGATGTTAACCCCTTGGAGAGCAATTCATTTTGTCTTCCTGGTCTCGCGTTTTTTACTGACATGAAATGGGGCGATTATATTAAATCAATTGCTGGGTCTGCAGCTAAGAAGGTTGGTTCACTGTGTCGTGACAGACAATTTTTTCTCGTCAGAATCTATCCGCACATTTATAAATCAAACATTCGCCCGTGCAGTGAATATTGTTGCCATATCTGGTCTGGTGCTACGGATGACTTCCTGAACCCTGTTCCTTTATTGTCCTTTCCCCGCTTAAAATCTTCTCATTGTCTTTCATCCCTTGTAACCCCACTGCGTCTTAGTGGCATTAACGCCTTACTTGGGGTGAAATGATTAAAACAACACGTCAAAATCTGTTGAAACAACTTAATCAATCGGCATGGAAAACGTTGCTATTTATAATTGGAATACTGTATCTAAACATTTCTTTATGAAATTTAACCTCTGTCTGAGAGTATAATAACCATATCGCCATAAAATATTGAAATATATTCTGGATGCCGAATACACAGACCCATATATTGACAGAAAATTAAATTCTGAAATTTTATATAAACCAAACAGTGAACGTAAGCACAGATAAGTTGTGTATTTCATCAGTGGCAACACCGATGTGTGTGACAAGCCATATTTATGAGCTCGGTATACAGGCTTTTGTTTAGTACAGGTGAAAACGTATAGCCGATGGAGGTCACTATATGAAGAATTTTCATAGCTATGCACCTCTAGAAACCCGCTGGTCTATCGATTTTTCATAGGTGAGAACGACACTAGAAATTATGTTCAGCTCTCAACTCTGGAGCAGTTTTCCTTCTAGTCTTTTTTTCTGTCAATAATCAAGTATTTATCTTCGGTAGCAGTCGTCATTTTTGGTTCTCCAGCTCTTTTTCTGTCGACATTTGCACCAATTTCTAAGTGATTTTGTAACGGATATTGCACCCCATTTATAGAAGTCTTCAACTTCTTGGGAATTTTTCTTTGAGAATAACTCTCTTTGAATAAGATTTCAATTTGTGCCCTCTTCAACAAAATTAGAGGCGTGTACATATACATTTACTATCCTATGGTGCTATTGCGCTCCATGTAATTTCTTTTTTTTATTTCCCGTGGAGTTGTTACTTTCAGGCCGTGACAGGACTCAAAATAAACCTTTTCAAAAGAGAAACTGGAATTGGAATGAAAGCAGTGGTAGCACATACCCTGAATCCATTCATGAAAGATCAGTATGTGGAATTAGTAAATACTAAACACTTGGTGTATAGATCAGAACAAATTTTATATAAGAGATAAAGAAATTTAACATGTTAAATTTTAATATGTTGCGCTAGGGATAGTTTCACATAATACCGCAAATTGCTACAAAACCAAAACAACATAAAAATTCAAATCATGTTCTTAAATAGCCTCGTCAGATCGAGACTTTCATATCGATGTCATACATGACACTAAACCCGCTCAAAAAGATAAAAACTGTAAACTGTATACAACCGCATTCTCAGATCAGTGGTTAAAAATAGCTCTGAGCGAGTGAAACCTGTGGGTCTTGGCAAAGACTATGTTTTTCCGAATATTGTGGACTAGCGTAACAGAATCATGAAAAAAAGAACAATACCAAATAACAGAGATCACATCATTTGAGTACTTGCAACAACTAAAATGGATATCACATGTAATGCTAAGAGAGAATAGTGACATAATCAAGATGATGACGTTCCTTAATACTTCGAACAAAAGCTTAGGAAGGAAACTCTTATTAATATTGGAAAGAACGATAACAACTAATGGACTCGAGAAACCTATCTTCTTGACAAAATATTTTAATAGAAAGATTTTATAAATTTCAATGAATGCCGGATGTAGCCTTATAAGAAAATGGCTAATATCTTCATTATTATTAGAGATAAGGAGCACAGATACTACACTTTAATCCAAGCCTGGTGAACAGGGAATAAAGAAGTGTGTAACACGAGTAGCACAGTCTGCTTAGGTCAGTGAATTCCGAATGTTCCCTTATAAGGAAACGGTTAATATTACCATTACCTCGTAATACTCACTGCTCTGTATCTGCTGTGTCATTGCTGTCCATGGTAAAATCACTCCTGAATCTGGACTGTCGTATGTCCAGTCTGGGGTCAACGGGATCAGAATAGTCATAATTGACATTGATGACTGGAAAACCTGGTTGGTTGACCCATGTTTCCATAATTTCTCTTACATCAAGGGATTTAACAACCTAAATGACAAAACAAGACAATGTAGGTAATCGTGCAATGTACTGATAAACATATGTTCAAATATTCTAGCATTATATTGTTATATTATTAACCTTTGATTTCACTAATCTCTGCAATAAAACATTAACTGGAAAAAATTTTACAAAGTTTTGCTTAATAATCTATAAAAGCTGAAATACTCCTTTACATTCTGTAAGAGGTTATGATAGCAAGTGGTTATAATAATATTAGAACGATTTTTTAGTAATATAATTATGAGCTAGTAATAGTCATGTTATGTCTAACTGATATATATATATATAATGTATATATATATATATATATATATATATATATATATATATATATATATATATATATTACATTATTCGGAGTATTGTCCTCATCTTTGTCGCCATATTTATCACAACATTTCGGCCGTTGTACGCTCCGGCCTTCTTCAGGTGGTTGGAATGTCGAACTGAACCCTTTATTTCGCTCACTGGGGTAGACTGTTCTAGTTCCACGTGCCATGTTTGATGGATGTCAGTTTTGGCTCCTGTTTTTGAAACATGAGAACTCTTATGTAGCGAAGGAATCATATTTTTAAAAAAATTATAATATATATATATATATATATATATATATATATATATTATTATTATTATTATTATTATTATTATTACTGTTATAATGCTGATTATTGTGTAATATATCTCAAACGTTATAATGATGAATTTTGTGTCGCATTTCTGTTGTGTAGAAAGACTGACTAACTTTCTCTACACTTATTAGTTAAACATCGACCCATGCGTCTGTTATGAGTCGAACCTGTGTTCATGAAACAGGGACAAAAAGTGTATTGCAATGTTGTAGCATTTTTCATTCGTACGCTTGTTGCACCTAACTACTGTATTGTCAAACTTTGTTCTTGTGTGATTGAACCCTTCTTCATTCAATTTTTTATTTCCAGTCTTTTCCTTGCAGTATTACTAACCAGCAATTCTGAGTGTTATACGAACTTTATAACAATATGTTAAACGTTAAAATAGTCACTATTGTGTAGCATATCTAAAAAGTTATAATGGCGATTAAAAATAAATTGAATTTTTAAAAATTTCAATGCGCATTAGACTGAAAATTTAAAATACGTTCCTGATTTTTTTTTGTGGGGGATTGCTCCAGAAATACTTACATCATTGAAAGCTTTCCAAAGTTCATTTGTTGTTGCTGTACTCCATTGGAACCTCTTTACAAACAACTAAAACGACGTGAGAAAAAATTTAGATGATAATTTATTTTTAAAGAGTTATAATTGTGTAGATATTAATTTCCATCCTTATGATTGTAGATACAACATAAGGTCGATTAAATGTACCCGGTCCATGTGTCATGATCACAACACTTCCCTTTTAATCAAATGATGAAGTTTTGCATCAGATTTGAAATTCCCAGGACAAGATTTGCTTCATATGTTGCATCTCTTACCCTAAGATGAAACACGGCTCATCTTAGCCCCTAAATTAGGACGCCGTACTTATTCGACCCACTTGTAAATACAACAAAACGTGGGTTTAATTTAGGATGCTAAATATGTACGTGTAGGTAAAGACAAATTGGTTCAGCCATTGTGATCATTGCGACAAAGTCTTCAGGGCTACTCACAACCTTTCATTTTAGTAGAATGTGGAGGTTCTGCTTTGTTGTTGGAATCCCCAGGTCCAGGCTTACTTCAGTTATGATGTGTCTCTTTACTTGAATATGAAACAACTGATCTTAACCAAAAGACCGTGCTCACGGCCATATCATGTTGAAACAGTAGTTCCAGTACGATTACCGAAGTTAAGCAACGTCGAGCCTGATCAGTACCTAAATGGGTGACCAATTGGGAATATCAAGTACTGTAAGCTTGGATGTGAGGGTGGTATAATTAATAATAGCTGTGAATTGTTAATCGGAGAGTCGAGTTCGAATTCCCTTTCAGTTTGTTGATTCATACTCATGGGAGATAGAATAATGAAACTGGTATTAATATGAATTAAATTTATTCCTCTTCAAAATTATAAGGGTTCATTGTTAAGTGAGGCCTCCGATTCGATAAAACAAGTTTTAGACAGCATGCAACAATGAAACTGGTATTAAAATGAAGTCAATTTATTTCTTTTCAAAATTACAAGGGTTTATTGATAAGTAAGGTCTGCAATCATCTATAACAAATTTCCGGCTAGATAGAATATTAAGACTAGCATCAGTATTTAAAATTACTGTTCTTCTTTGATTTCAAAAGTTTTTTTTTTTATACCTTGCAATGAATGAACTAATGGTAGTAAATGGAATATTCAGGTTGTCTGAGATTTTCCTGTAACTCTTATCTTCTTCCCAGAGCTTAACAATCAGTTCTTTTTGTGAATTTGCCAATTCTTTACCTCTTGCCATGATGAAAACCTTCTTGTACGAATATCAGTTACAGAATGTTCTGTTTGTATTTTTAGACTAAAAATAACTACTGATAGCAATTGTTAAAATAATCTAGAATATTCCACTTGAATAATCTAGAGTATTAATGCAATTTGAAAGTTTTAAAATCTGAAATTTGTATTGTACAAATACTTTTTCACCCCATTGAAATGGATAAATGAGATTTATGTCGATTATATCCAATTTTTTTTTCTGTTTTCTATGCATATTTAGTTATTATGCATCTGTGTACAGTTAATTATATGAAAAGTATATTTATTTATTAGATGGAAGTACCTCGATGAACTCAAGACGTTCTATTATTTAAAATAAATAAATACATAAATAATTTATCAAATGAAAATAAAATAATAAATAATAATTACATTAAAAATTTTAAAAATTGTACAATATTCACTCACTTTCTTTTATTAATAATTAAATTACATCATTTAGCGTCTTCCATAGTTTACCTTACCCATTTAGCTTTAAGAATATTTTAGTGCACTTGATAAGACAGACGACTTATATTTTCGTCTGCCAAAATAAGCTTATTCCCCATATGAGGTGATTTTGGATTTTATATTGTATTAATTATATATATATATATATATATATATATATATATATATATATATATATATATATATATATATATATATATAATTTTAAGTTATATTATATTTATGAGTTAATGCGCTCGATATCAGGGATAGAGCGTATGAAAATATAAAAGTGGTAGACACTGAGGTCCACACCTAGAGGCAACAGTCTGTTTCATGTTTAAAAGCAATCGTCAGACCACATAGACCATATGGAGAAATCAAGAGTAAACCACTCTACTACATTCTTTAAGAAGTCATGGCAATTCACAAATAATAAAAAAGGAGTCTGTTGAGAGACATGGCCGTCTATGTCTAGAAAGGAGACGACATTTAAAAAAATAAATCCAAAAACGACTTCACATGTTATCGAATTTTTTTTTTGTCTGTGACATGGGATAAAAATATTTACTTTAGTTTTACTTACCCTGATAGCTTCGTAGAAATTTTTTTCACCGATGAATTTCAGAAGCATACTGAATATAGCCCCTCCCTTCAAGTATGTCAGGTCGATAACGATCACACATAAGAAAAAGAAAGATTAAGAATGAACTGTCATAACGGTATCACACAATTATAAAATAAATTCTGGTTTTTAGTATTCATCCTTAGATCAATTTTAAACTAACTTCATTAAAACGACAAAAAAAACCCCTGGTTTTCTAGGATTCATTTTTTAAAATCATTTCACTTCAAACCAGGCGATAAAGCCATTAATATGTAAGGGGGTTACTGAAAGCGAAATGCAACGAGAATAATATAGCGACGGGAAAGAACAGGCTTCAGGAAGACAGAAGATGAGGATTGGCGCGGTCGTGGGTTCCATGGAAGCAAGAAGAGATTTCCACACGCGTGAAAGAAAAAAAAAACCCTCAAAAAACCTATTATGATAGAACTTACGGTTACATCTTGCTAATTTTTTTTAATCATTTCACCCCATACAAAGCAGTAAGTCACTAGGGGTTAGTGAGTGTGAAAAAAATTAGAAAACATAAACATTATTAAAGAGCGACAAAAATAGAAGAGTAACCAGGAAGACAGACGATAACGATTGACATTGCATATAAAAAGTTGGCTGGGAATTATGGAGCCGGAACAGAGTTTCACAAAAGAGAATTTCATCCTAAGGTAGGCAATAAAGCCACCAAGACACAACGGGGTTACTGGATGTGAAAGAATAAGAAAAAAGATTATTAACGCGCAAGACAGACTGACATTGCTTTTAAATTTATAAAGATCAAAGTTGGCCGGAAATCAAGAAGCCGGAAGAGAGTTCCATAGGCGAGAAGTGTGAGAAGAGAAACTATTAGTACAGGACTTACGGTTACATCTAGCCAATTCAACAGAAAAACGATGAGACCTGCCAATCTAGTAGTACGCTTTAATTCAACGCTGTCGAGGTACCAAAGAGGAGAACTCGTTAGAACGATTGCCATGAAAATATTTATAGAAAAGAGAAAGTAAAAGCACGCCACGGAGGTAAGAAAGTAACTGAAGTCGAGATGCCAGGTTAGGACCGATCAAAGTGCAGATTCTTCTTTCTATTTTATGAAGAATCTCTAGATATATTACAGAAGCACCAGAGAAGATGTGGCAGGAATAATGCACGGAGGAATGATAGATTTATAATTATGCAAAACTGACTACGGCGAGAAAAACTGCCTGCTACGACGCCGTGAACTAACTTCCGGAACATCTGACTCAGCAAGTTGATTCAATATAATTACTCCACTTCATGTCACTGGAAAACATAAGATCAATGAGTTTCTCGTGTGAAAAGTAGAGGGCAGTGGTAATGATTACACAGTAGGAATATTATTATTAATAATAAATCAAAATAAAATATATAATAATAATAATGAAAATTATAAATAAAATAAAATAAAACGATAACACAAAAACGTTGTATAAAATAAATTAAATGAAGATTAAAAATAATAAAAATACTCCCAGCATGCATCAAAAATTGTTCCTGTCGGAAATACGGACATCCCGCCAAAAGACGTTAAATTCAATCTCTTCGCCAAGAACCCTCAGACAGGCAACACGTGTGTAACTTCTCTCTCTTCACCACAAACGTTGGTACGGGCGACACGTGTCCGACTTCTTTTTGTGACATGGCTTGTAATACTATGGAGTAACTTTCTCCGTTTTATCATATGTACCAAAAACACTTGTAAGCTAAAAGATACACACACCAATACACACAAAGATATAAATAAATTGTATAAAATTAACATATAATTTACCATGCTTTCCTGTTATTTCTGTACGTTTTAATTCCTCTCAAGTATGCTTTTATCTCCGTCAACACGAAGCTAATTTCTGCTGCTATCATGTGAGTGAATCTCCACAGCACACACTTAATATCCAAGTAACAAAAAGATAAATAACGTATTTAAATTATTTACATACTTCTTCATTCATTTACGTCTAAGGAAAATTATGATGGAAAAAAGTTTCCATTGATTGTACAAACCTTAGAATACAAAAGTTCTCTAGAAAAATGTTTTTCCGTTCTGGTGTTTTTCCATTCTAACGTTTAAAATCCAGGTGATACTAACATCAATACAAAGTCTACTATATATATATATATATATATATATATATATATATATATATATATATATATATTATGGAGGAGATTTCGATCCGAAGAGTTGAACATATCGGTGTTCACGAAATAAATTTATAATCTAAATGTATAATTAAAATCTCCATCTTCTTATTATCATTATATATATATATATATATATATATATATATATATATATATATATAAAGAAATATAGTCTTAAGATGTGCTGTATTTATGGGATAAAGTGCTCAATATCAGAGATAGAGCGTGTGTAAATATAAAGTGAACATAGAAGTCAACACTTAGAAGCGACAGCCTGTTTCATGCTAGATGCAATCGTCAGCCCTGACGACTGTTGCCTCTAAGTGTTGACTTCTATATATATATATATATATTTATATATAAAATAAAGGTTTAAGATATGCTATATTTATGACTTAAAGTGCTCAATCAAGGATCGAGCGTATGGTCTGCCGATTCGCATGAGCATGAAACAGACTGTCGCCGCTGGGTGTTGATTACAATGTCCACTTTTATACTTACATACTCTCTACACTTGACTGAGCAATTTAACCCATAAATACAATATACCTTAAAACCATAAATATGACCACTTTTATGCTAAGATATATATATATATATTAGAAATACCCGTGAAAATTTAGCGGTTTTCTGATTTTATGCTTATGGCTTCCTTCAACTCTAAAATATCCGTAAAATTTTACCTATCACATCGTTAAATATTTGAGCTTAACAACTTTAAATTTACAATTGAAAAGTTTTAAAATTGACAATATTTTCAAATTCACTGAAGCAGACGTTAAACACTTCTATCTACGCTTCTTTCTTTCTTTCTTTCTTTTCTCACTAAAACTATGAAGCGTCTCTGATATGTCTTTTCCGTTTTTCCAAGCGATCAAAACGGAATAGTCCATTATTTATGAGGGTAAATACTTATTTCTTTCTTTCACTAAAACCAAGTAGCGTCTCTTATATGCATATAAACTGAATAATCCATTATTTATCAGGTATTGACAGGGCGTAGTGGTAGTGATAACTGAGGGAGAACAAGCAGAATTATTAATATATATATATATATATATATATATATATATATATATTTAATATATATATATATATATATATATATATATATATATATATATAGTTGGATTGATATGAGTTCGTGACCCTGCTTTTGCGATCGTCAGACTGATTTATTTTTTTAAATTTTGGATTCATGTAGGGTTGCGTATATTGGTGTTTTTTTA